CAATATATATCAATTTGATCTTCACCACCACGATCCGAAACAGTTCCATTAACTGTGATGTTGTTATCTGTATTCTTCAAATATGATGGCTTAGGAATTGTAACAATACTGATGTTAGGATGTATATAAATGTACTCAAATGAAATATTATATAATCTGCTCTTTAAAGTATCTTTTTCTAAATATAAATGAATTGTATTAGTGAATTCTGGTAAATCATTAGGAAGATTGATTGAATTAGAGAAATTTTTACCACTTGAATCCACTTCAACACTGAATGAATTTGATTTTTTGGAATTTTCGTTGAAGTAGTATACAATTGTGGCATTGTTTTCTCCATTTGAATATATTGCAGTTCCTGATAATGTAAATGTTTGATTACTCATCTTTATAATTTCGGTTGTATTTATACTTAAATTAGATAGATTAAGTTTATCTGTATATCCAATTGAAAATTCAAAAGAATTATTCATAGAATACTGACTATGGCACTTAGCTTGCAAAGTTATTGTGTGATCACCATAACCTAAATCCCAAATGTCAATCGTTTTATATTTAAAACTTGGTTCACTGCCATATTGAAAATATACATATTTAACCTTTTGTTCTGAATCAATATAAATGAATAACTCTACTGGATCAATTGGAACATAATATATAATATATCCAACAAGCAAATTCATTGGCGGTGGAAAAGAATACATTTTGCTAATATATTCAAATGAAACGGAAATTTCAACTGGAAATCCTATAATATCAAAACCAATACTATATGTTCTACTATTAAAATCATCTATTATTAAATAAAAATTAATTGTATTTCTGGTTTGTGGTAAATCATCTGGAATATGGATTATTTTTTCGAAATTTTTACCATATTTATCCACTTCAACCGTGAATGTATTTGAATTTTCAAAATTATTGTTGAAACAATATATAATTGTAGCTGTTGATTATCCAATTGAATATCTAGCTCTTCCTGATAATGTAAAATCTTTATCAACGTCCTTTGTGATTTCTCTTTGGCTAATATCAAAACTTGGTAGATCGAGTTTATCTGTAAATCCATATGAAAATTCAGAAGTTACATTATCAGAATATTGATTTGAACCCTTAGCTTGCAATTTTAATATGTGATCACCATAATCTAATCCATGAAAATCAATCGATGCGTAATCATTATAGTTTGAACAATTTAATGTTTCATATTGTTTCGTAGTTTTTAGTAATGAATCAAAATAAAAGTATATTTCCACAGAATCAACAGGAATATTATATAGTTCAAAACTAACATTCAAACCTTCTGTTGATTGATATGAATAGAATTCTTTCGGTGGTACGATGATTTTAATTGAAATTCTTGTAATATTGAACGAAATATGATAAATTCTGCTTATTGAATAATTTTTTTCTAAATAAAAATAAATTGTATTTGTGGTTTCTGGTAAATCACTGGGAATTTTGATTGAGATGGAGAAATTTGTACCATTAGAGTCAACTTCGACATTGGTTGAATTAGGATTTTCATCATTTTTGTTGAAATAATACATAATTGTAGCTGTTGAATTTCCTTTTGAATAACTGGCAATTCCTGATAATGTCAATTCTTGATCAATATTTTTCCTTAGTTCAGTTGAATTTATATTTAAGTTTGATAGATTAAGTTTATTTGTATATCCAAATGAAAATTCATAAGATATATTATTAGATTGTTGATCATCACATTTGGCTTGTAAAGTTAATATGTGGTCACCATAATCTAAACCGTAAATATAAATATAATCAGATTCATTTAATTGTGTTTTGCCATTTGTGTAATAGTACTCATAATCTTTTTGTAATGAATCAACATAAAAATATAAATACATATAATTACCTGGAATGTTATAAAAAGTAATATTATATTCAAATCTCCATGAATATGAATAGGTTTTCTCAGGAATATAAGATAATTCAATCCTAAATCCATTATTTTCAAGTAAATTTTTATTGTTGTTAAGTTTATGATTATGATTTAATTCGATTTCGTTTTCCGAAAAATTATCTTCCGAAATTTCAACAAAGTTGTTCGGTTTTCCAGCATCATTTTGAAATTCTGATTTACTTTCACTTAATAATGTATTATGAAACATTCCTTTTTCGTTAATTCGTTCATTTATCTTGATTTCGGAAATATTTTTGCTTCATGGTTATAGTGTAGTGATAATATGTAATGTTAAGAATTATCATATTTTGTAGATGTAACAGAACAAATGTAATTTCTTGTTTCAAAATTATTTGTATTAAATTTAAAAGTTTTTGGATAGCTGTCGTTCATTTTCATTCATTTATTGCTGTTATTCGTAATAGATTGTTTCTTTGTGAATGAAATTTGACTCTATGCCTTCAAATTAATGAAAGCATTCATCAAATTTCGGATTAAAAAAATATTGATAATTTTGTTTGTTTTCTACGGGCACTTTATGACCCAAAAAGTATATAAAATTGGAATTATCTTGATTATGATTATTTTTATTTCTGAGGCATAACAGTATTTGAATTAAAAATAATCGTAGTTGCGAAATGACACTTTTTTGGTTGATGGAGTGGAGCTTACATGCAAAATTCATCAAGAACGCTGCATATTTAAATCATTTGGATGAAATTTATAAACAATTTTCAAAGCATTTAGACATTTTACAAAGGATTAATTTTTTTTATTACAAATCTGATCCAACTATCAAAAGATATGAATTAGATTCAAATGAACTCCCAGAATTCTTAAGATTATTCCCGGAAAAAGAGGATCCTCAAGCTTATATTAATTATTGTCAAGAAAATGGAATTATTCATAGCTTTGACATTTATAATTATTCTTCATCTAAAAAAATTGTAGTTAGTCGTATGAAATTACATATTGATTTATCTGATCTCGATATAAAAGAAAGTTTTAATTCATTTGTTGTAATTCATACTATTTTTCTTTATTACGGCAGTATAAAGAATGCATTATTTTCATTTCACGAAATTGATGTTAAATATCAGCCAATTATCATTGATGAAATTAAAAACAATAATTTAATCAAAGATGCCAATTTGAAAAAGGGATCAAAAACACTCTTGATATATGCATGTGAAAATAACTTTACAGAATTGGCAATGGCGTTACTTGAATTACCTGCTGATTACAAAATAAAAGATGAACTTGGAAACACATCTATTTATTATTGTATTAAGAATTCTAATTCTTTATTAGTTCAAAATCATTTTCAATATAGTATTTACTTACTTGATCAAAACAATAGTGTATCATTTCCACTTGACTTAGCTCTTAAATCATCTGATGAATTGATTAAAACACAAGTCTGTAAATATTTCTTTCATCATAAATGGAATATTAATGATGAAGGTGAAAAAATGAAACAATACTTTAAAAAAGCCAGCGATGAAATCAAAGTTGAGTTAATACACAAATCAATTGAAATTTTCAATTCTCAGTATTATTCATTCTTTTTCGAAAATGTTGATGATCAATTTATTGACAAATATGATTTACTTACTTATGCATATGTAAATATCGTAAAACCAAATGAATCAGAAGGTCAAATTTATGCTTTATTGTATCAATTGTTGATAAGAAATGTAAGTATATCGAAATTGACAGAAGCAATTATTGAAAGAAAAGATGTTTCATTCTTCAAGTTCTTATTCTCAAATAATGATAAAAGTAAAAGAAAAATTAGCGATATTATTTTCAGTAATGGAAAAACTTTAAGAGCAGTTTTGAGCGACCTTGCGTCAGAAGACAAATGTTACAAAGAAATGCTTGATAGCATTACTTCTAATTTCAAAATAACAGTCAGTACATGGGAAATTATTGAATATCAAATGGCGACGTTTAGAACTCTTTTTGAAGGTGATCAAAATCTAATATATCAAGAGTTTATCTCCGAACCAATGTTATTTGTGATTTTCAATTTTTTAAAATCAATTTATGATGGAAACACATCTCAAGTCCTATATTGTATTAATAATGGTATGGATGTTAATATTGTTTTTGATGGTATTCATCCAATAATGCTTTGTAATGACCTAGAAATGCTAAAATTATTGATAGAAAAAGGCTCAAATTTTGCTCAAAAAATTTCCTTAACTGTTAGTCCATCCACAGTTTTGGGAATGGAATGGTTTAATCCAGAACACATTATTGATTCAGAGTCAAATTATTATGTCGAATATTATCCAGTTCATGCTATTGTTCGATATTGTAATCATGAAATGTTGAATTACTGTGTTTCTTGTGGATTGAAACTCAATATTCTTGATTCTCAAAATAACACTTTAATGCATCATGCAGCTGTTAGAGATTCGAAAATCGATCCAAATGCAAGTATGATCAAATACCTTTTTAAAAAAAATTAAGTATTAAAACAGAAAATATTGATGGCATTCTCCCCATCCACTTTGCTCTGATAAAAAACCCTGCAGCTGCAAAATTCTTAATCGAAAATAGAGCTGATCTTGGGGCAAAAGATAGATATGGAGAGATCCCTCTTCATTATGCAGTTGCATACAGTACACCAGAAATTGTTGACCTTTTATTAAGCAAAAAAAGAAATTATGATATTTGTAATAATAATTTACAATATCCAATCAACGCGATTAAATATCAAACAAATACAAGAACGATTATTCAAATCCTTCAAGTATTCGTTAACCATGGTGCCTCATTAGATCTTCCATCATATTATGATGGAGATACAATAATATTTAAATATTTAAAGAATTACGAAGTTTTAAGGTTCTTAATCGATAATGGTGCCGATCTAAATCATACTAATTATAAAGTTGGAACACCATTGTCAGAATGCATAATTACCGATAATTACGTTGGAGCCAAAATGCTTCTGGAAGGTGGTGCTGATGTAAATCAAAGCAACCACATGGCTAAATCGGTATTGTTCATGTGCAAAAATACAGAATTCATGAAGTTAATCTTACAATTTCACCCCATTCTTTATATGGATTCTGTCAAGCTCTATATAAGACGGAGGTATATTGAAATTGTAAAGGAATTAATCAAGTATTACCCAAAGGAAGATCACTATTCAATCTTTGCTGAAGCAATTAGTATTGGTTCTTATGAACTTGTAGAATATATGATTTATCATGGTTTCGACTTTCATTCAGCAAGTATTGATGGTAAAACTCCTATCTTTGATGCAATTTTGTATAATCAGGTTGATATTCTCCAACTCCTCATTAAAAGTGGTGCTGAGCTTGAATTCACTAATATTTATGGAGAAACTGCTCTTATGGCAGCAACATCTATGCTCTCTCAAACATTGGAAATGAATGATTATATGAAGCTAATAATATCCTATAACCCATCTGATTCATTAAAACTTCTTATTAATCAAGGCGTAAATTACCATGCATTAAATAAAAATGGCCATAATGTAACACAAAATGCAATTATTAATGGACTTATTTCAGCTTGGAATGTATTGAGTCCATTATCTCTTCCTCCTTTGACAATAAATCAAGAAGAAATAAGAGAACTCCGAGAAAAATTAAAAGACAGTGATGAGACTTTATTTACATATATTTCAAAGCACGATGACGAATGGTTTTATGCGGTGCACAATAGTATCTTTGAGAACAATGACAAGTACCCTGATGTAAATGAAGCGAATAAATATGGAGAAACTCCTGTTATGTGCGTTATTAAATATAATAAAAATCCGGCTCTTTTGGCATTACTTATCACTGCAGGTGCAGATGCTGATTTGGAATATAACGGAAAGACGCCATTGCAGATCTGTATCGAGAATGAATACACAGACAAAATAAGAGCATTTCTCCAAAACGAATGTTGTGATCTCAACAAGAAGTTTGACAATGAAATGAGTTATTTCCATCTCGCAATCAAGATGAATAAGAAACTTTCTATGCGAGCACTTGCATCATATGTATTTCCAGATTTTGTTGACAAAGACGGAAATTCATATCTTCACTATGCTGCATTGTCTAATGATCGTGAAATTACATACATTTGTCTTCATGTTCAAGAGAAATACATTGTTTACAACAATGAAAACATGAGTCCATTGATGCTTGCATCATCAATCAACTCATTCCGATACATTGATCAATTCATTGATTTTTGCGATAAACACTGGATTCCTATCAAAGACAAATATCGATCATTATTTCTTGCAGTAATGAATAGAAGTTTTGATTCTTATTATTCAATCTTGAAAATAATTTTATGTTCTGTTGACCCAAATTCAGAAAATACGAAATAGTACATGAAAGTATTGTGTTTTTATAGTTCTTTCAGCAATTCATCATCATTCAGAATCATTTAATTCCATCATGACAATTATTCAATATGAAATAATTTCTAACGCTAAGTCAAAGAATGAGAACAAACAATGAATTGTGTTTTTTATTTTTTATAAAATTTTATTATTTTATTGTTATAAAAAATTTTTTTTAAGTGGAGTAATGATATCTAATAATTATATCATAAAAATCTCAAACATTTCTTAATGATTCATTTACCTGTTTCATGCATTTTCTAATTTTTTGCAATATCTATGTCAGTTAACCGTTTGAGCTTAAAATTGAGGGGAAAAAATGAAATAAAATGTTTATTTACAAGCTTTACATAAGGTTAATGTTAATGAAAAAATGTTTTTTGGAATTGAAAAGATGTTATTATGTTTGTCATCTTTTATACTGTTGGGAACTAGAAAAAACATTAATGGTTGATGTGAAGATGATTTGTTGTCATCATCAACAACATAGATATCAAATGAATGAAGACCACATGAAACAGAATCAAGAGGAACATATTCTGAGAACGGACGAGAATTACTGTCATAAATACTAAAAGATGCCAAATCTTTATATATATCTTCATCAAGTTTGTACTTTATTGTTAATGTTCCAATCTCATCAAGATCTTCAACAACACCATAAATATAAAACTTTTTATTGACATCTTTGATGAGTGTTTGATTATCTCTCGTTGTTAATGATATTGATGGTGAATTATAATAATATTCAAATGTCGATAGAAAAGTATTGGATGATTTATTTGATTCATCAACTGCAATGACTTTAAAATAATGTAATGATTCATTAAGTTCTGAAGGGAATTCTAAATCAATGGTAAATGGATGCTCATTAACATTTAAGATTTCAATAGATTTAATATAAATGATGTTGTTGTCAATGTAAAAGTTGATTGTTACATTACCAAAACCATCAAGATCGATAACTTTACCTTCAAGATGAATACTACTGTTCAAACCTCGATGATATATACCATTATCGAATTCGTCCACAACTATTTCTGGTGGATTGTATTCGTAATATAGAGTAACGTGTTCTTCGTTTGATTTCTTGTTACGCTCATCACAACAATAAATTGTGATCTTGTGAAGAGATTCAGATAATGTTGATGGAAATTCAATTTGTTTAGAAAAAGGGATAATGCATTCTGAACTCATTTCTTCTGAAGGTAATTCTGGATATAAATCTTCATCAAATTTGTAAAAAATTGAGATGCTACCTGTACAGTCTGAATCTTGAATTGTGCCGATGATATTTATTGATTTGTTTGTAGTTCTGTAGAATGTAATACTATTTTGTGTTGAAACAGAAATAATTGGTGTATTGAAAACAAATTCAAATGTTTTACTGTAGTTTGATGATAATTTGCCGAAGCTATCTTCAATCCAAATGAAAATCGTGTGATTACTGTCTATATTGTATTGAGCAAAGTATTCCGATGCTGCAATAGAAAATGCAAAATCATGTTCATTTGTGATTATAACATTTTCAATTTCATGTCGATCACTATTGTCGAGGACGTAATAGAAGTTGACATGTTCAGCATTGTTGTCGTTTGTGAATGTTCCTGTGACAGAGATATTTGTATCAACTTTATTGTGGTATACTGATTGCGGTTCTTTGATGACAATGAGAGATAGACTGTTGAATATATATGTGAAATTGATGGTTTCTTCATTTGATATCTTAATATCTTCATCCATGCAATAAATCGTGATTTTTGAATACCTTCACTCAAATATGATGGAATGTTGATGTTTTTAGTGAATTCATGATTTGAGGAATTATAAATTGTTATCGTTTGGAGAGGGAGATCTGAATGAGAATCATCAAAATAGTATTTTATTGAAACTTTATCACTTCCATCAAGATCGGTAACGTTTCCTTTGATTTCAATTTGTTCGTTGACCCCGCGTCGAAGTTCTTGATTGTTATTTGTTGTGATAGAGATAGATGGTCTGTTATGATTGAAAATAAATTCATATTGTAGATGCTCTGATTCTATTAGAGTAGAATCAACTGCCCATATATATATTTTGTGAGATCCTTCTTGGAATGATGATGGAATTTGAATTGTGAAATTAAATGAATAATTTCCATTTTGATCAATGATTTCGATTGGTTCTGATGTCATTTTAATTTCACTTTCATTATCAAACTTGCAATATATATCAATTTGATCTTCACCACCACGATCCGAAACAGTTCCATTAACTGTGATGTTGTTATCTGTATTCTTCAAATATGATGGCTTAGGAATTGTAACAATACTGATGTTAGGATGTATATAAATGTACTCAAATGAAATATTATATAATCTGCTCTTTAAAGTATCTTTTTCTAAATATAAATGAATTGTATTAGTGAATTCTGGTAAATCATTAGGAAGATTGATTGAATTAGAGAAATTTTTACCACTTGAATCCACTTCAACACTGAATGAATTTGATTTTTTGGAATTTTCGTTGAAGTAGTATACAATTGTGGCATTGTTTTCTCCATTTGAATATATTGCAGTTCCTGATAATGTAAATGTTTGATTACTCATCTTTATAATTTCGGTTGTATTTATACTTAAATTAGATAGATTAAGTTTATCTGTATATCCAATTGAAAATTCAAAAGAATTATTCATAGAATACTGACTATGGCACTTAGCTTGCAAAGTTATTGTGTGATCACCATAACCTAAATCCCAAATGTCAATCGTTTTATATTTAAAACTTGGTTCACTGCCATATTGAAAATATACATATTTAACCTTTTGTTCTGAATCAATATAAATGAATAACTCTACTGGATCAATTGAACATAATATATAATATATCAACAAGCAAATTCTTGGAAAAGAACATTTTGCTAATATATTCAAATGAAACGGAAATTTCAACTGGAAATCCTATAATATCAAAACCAATCATATGTTCTACTATTAAAATCATCTATTATTAATAAAAATTAATTGTATTTCTGGTTTGTTGGTAAATCATCTGGAATATGGATTATTTTTGAAATTTTACCATATTTATCCACTTCAACCGTGAATGTATTTGAATTTCAAAATTATTGTTGAAACAATATATTAATTGTAGCTGTTGATTATCCAATTGAATATCTAGCTCTTCCTGATAATGTAAAATCTTTATCAACGTCCTTTGTGATTTTCTTTGGCTAATATCAAAACTTGTAAGATCGAGTTTATCTGTAAATCCATAGAAATTCAGAAGTTACATTATCAGAATATTGATTTGAACTTAGCTTGCAATTTTAATATGTGATCACCATAATCTAATCATGAAAATCAATCGATGCGTAATCATTATAGTTTGAACAATTTAATGTTTTATTGTTTCGTAGTTTTAGTAATGAATCAAAATAAAAGTATATATCCACAGAATCAACAGAATATTATATAGTTCAAAACTAAATTCAAACTTCTGTTGATTGATATGAATAGAATTCTTTCGTGGTGTACGATGATTTTAATTGAAATTCTTAATATTGACGAAATATATAAATTCTGCTTATTGAATAATTTTTTTCTAAATAAAAATAAATTGTATTTGTGTTTCTGGTAATCACTGGAATTTTGATTGATGGAGAAATTTGTACCATTAGAGTCAACTTCGACATTGTTGAATTAGATTTCATCATTTTTGTTGAATAATACATAATTGTAGCTGTTGAATTTCCTTTGAATAACTGGCAATTCCTGATAATGTCAATTCTTGATCAATATTTTCCTTAGTTCAGTTGAATTTATATTAAGTTTGATAGATTAAGTTTAAATCCAAATGAAAAATAAATATATATTATTAGATGTTGATCATCACATTTGGCTTGTAAATAATATGTGGTCACCATAATCTAACCGTAAATATAAATAAATCAGATTCATTTAATTGTGGCCATTGTGTAATAACTCATAATCTTTTTTGTAATGAATCAACATAAAAATAAAAACATATAATTACCTGGAATGTTATAAAAAAATATTATATTCAAATCTCCATGAATATGAATAGGTTTTCTCAGGAATATAAGATAATTCAATCCTAAATCCATTATTTTCAAGTAAATTTTTATTGTTGTTAAGTTTATGATTATGATTTAATTCGATTTCGTTTTCCGAAAAATTATCTTCCGAAATTTCAACAAAGTTGTTCGGTTTTCCAGCATCATTTTGAAATTCTGATTTACTTTCACTTAATAATGTATTATGAAACATTCCTTTTTCGTTAATTCGTTCATTTATCTTGATTTCGGAAATATTTTTGCTTCATGGTTATAGTGTAGTGATAATATGTAATGTTAAGAATTATCATATTTTGTAGATGTAACAGAACAAATGTAATTTCTTGTTTCAAAATTATTTGTATTAAATTTAAAAGTTTTTGGATAGCTGTCGTTCATTTTCATTCATTTATTGCTGTTATTCGTAATAGATTGTTTCTTTGTGAATGAAATTTGACTCTATGCCTTCAAATTAATGAAAGCATTCATCAAATTTCGGATTAAAAAAATATTGATAATTTTGTTTGTTTTCTACGGGCACTTTATGACCCAAAAAGTATTAAAATTGGAATTATCTTGATTATGATTATTTTTATTTCTGAGGCATAACAGTATTTGAATTAAAAATAATCGTAGTTGCGAAATGACACTTTTTTGGTTGATGGAGTGGAGCTTACATGCAAAATTCATCAAGAACGCTGCATATTTAAATCATTTGGATGAAATTTATAAACAATTTTCAAAGCATTTAGACATTTTACAAAGGATTAATTTTTTTTATTACAAATCTGATCCAACTATCAAAAGATATGAATTAGATTCAAATGAACTCCCAGAATTCTTAAGATTATTCCCGGAAAAAGAGGATCCTCAAGCTTATATTAATTATTGTCAAGAAAATGGAATTATTCATAGCTTTGACATTTATAATTATTCTTCATCTAAAAAAATTGTAGTTAGTCGTATGAAATTACATATTGATTTATCTGATCTCGATATAAAAGAAAGTTTTAATTCATTTGTTGTAATTCATACTATTTTTCTTTATTACGGCAGTATAAAGAATGCATTATTTTCATTTCACGAAATTGATGTTAAATATCAGCCAATTATCATTGATGAAATTAAAAACAATAATTTAATCAAAGATGCCAATTTGAAAAAGGGATCAAAAACACTCTTGATATATGCATGTGAAAATAACTTTACAGAATTGGCAATGGCGTTACTTGAATTACCTGCTGATTACAAAATAAAAGATGAACTTGGAAACACATCTATTTATTATTGTATTAAGAATTCTAATTCTTTATTAGTTCAAAATCATTTTCAATATAGTATTTACTTACTTGATCAAAACAATAGTGTATCATTTCCACTTGACTTAGCTCTTAAATCATCTGATGAATTGATTAAAACACAAGTCTGTAAATATTTCTTTCATCATAAATGGAATATTAATGATGAAGGTGAAAAAATGAAACAATACTTTAAAAAAGCCAGCGATGAAATCAAAGTTGAGTTAATACACAAATCAATTGAAATTTTCAATTCTCAGTATTATTCATTCTTTTTCGAAAATGTTGATGATCAATTTATTGACAAATATGATTTACTTACTTATGCATATGTAAATATCGTAAAACCAAATGAATCAGAAGGTCAAATTTATGCTTTATTGTATCAATTGTTGATAAGAAATGTAAGTATATCGAAATTGACAGAAGCAATTATTGAAAGAAAAGATGTTTCATTCTTCAAGTTCTTATTCTCAAATAATGATAAAAGTAAAAGAAAAATTAGCGATATTATTTTCAGTAATGGAAAAACTTTAAGAGCAGTTTTGAGCGACCTTGCGTCAGAAGACAAATGTTACAAAGAAATGCTTGATAGCATTACTTCTAATTTCAAAATAACAGTCAGTACATGGGAAATTATTGAATATCAAATGGCGACGTTTAGAACTCTTTTTGAAGGTGATCAAAATCTAATATATCAAGAGTTTATCTCCGAACCAATGTTATTTGTGATTTTCAATTTTTTAAAATCAATTTATGATGGAAACACATCTCAAGTCCTATATTGTATTAATAATGGTATGGATGTTAATATTGTTTTTGATGGTATTCATCCAATAATGCTTTGTAATGACCTAGAAATGCTAAAATTATTGATAGAAAAAGGCTCAAATTTTGCTCAAAAAATTTCCTTAACTGTTAGTCCATCCACAGTTTTGGGAATGGAATGGTTTAATCCAGAACACATTATTGATTCAGAGTCAAATTATTATGTCGAATATTATCCAGTTCATGCTATTGTTCGATATTGTAATCATGAAATGTTGAATTACTGTGTTTCTTGTGGATTGAAACTCAATATTCTTGATTCTCAAAATAACACTTTAATGCATCATGCAGCTGTTAGAGATTCGAAAATCGATCCAAATGCAAGTATGATCAAATACCTTTTTAAAAAGAAATTAAGTATTAAAACAGAAAATATTGATGGCATTCTCCCCATCCACTTTGCTCTGATAAAAAACCCTGCAGCTGCAAAATTCTTAATCGAAAATAGAGCTGATCTTGGGGCAAAAGATAGATATGGAGAGATCCCTCTTCATTATGCAGTTGCATACAGTACACCAGAAATTGTTGACCTTTTATTAAGCAAAAAAAGAAATTATGATATTTGTAATAATAATTTACAATATCCAATCAACGCGATTAAATATCAAACAAATACAAGAACGATTATTCAAATCCTTCAAGTATTCGTTAACCATGGTGCCTCATTAGATCTTCCATCATATTATGATGGAGATACAATAATATTTAAATATTTAAAGAATTACGAAGTTTTAAGGTTCTTAATCGATAATGGTGCCGATCTAAATCATACTAATTATAAAGTTGGAACACCATTGTCAGAATGCATAATTACCGATAATTACGTTGGAGCCAAAATGCTTCTGGAAGGTGGTGCTGATGTAAATCAAAGCAACCACATGGCTAAATCGGTATTGTTCATGTGCAAAAATACAGAATTCATGAAGTTAATCTTACAATTTCACCCCATTCTTTATATGGATTCTGTCAAGCTCTATATAAGACGGAGGTATATTGAAATTGTAAAGGAATTAATCAAGTATTACCCAAAGGAAGATCACTATTCAATCTTTGCTGAAGCAATTAGTATTGGTTCTTATGAACTTGTAGAATATATGATTTATCATGGTTTCGACTTTCATTCAGCAAGTATTGATGGTAAAACTCCTATCTTTGATGCAATTTTGTATAATCAGGTTGATATTCTCCAACTCCTCATTAAAAGTGGTGCTGAGCTTGAATTCACTAATATTTATGGAGAAACTGCTCTTATGGCAGCAACATCTATGCTCTCTCAAACATTGGAAATGAATGATTATATGAAGCTAATAATATCCTATAACCCATCTGATTCATTAAAACTTCTTATTAATCAAGGCGTAAATTACCATGCATTAAATAAAAATGGCCATAATGTAACACAAAATGCAATTATTAATGGACTTATTTCAGCTTGGAATGTATTGAGTCCATTATCTCTTCCTCCTTTGACAATAAATCAAGAAGAAATAAGAGAACTCCGAGAAAAATTAAAAGACAGTGATGAGACTTTATTTACATATATTTCAAAGCACGATGACGAATGGTTTTATGCGGTGCACAATAGTATCTTTGAGAACAATGACAAGTACCCTGATGTAAATGAAGCGAAATAAATATGGAGAACTCCTGTTATGTGCGTTATTAAATATAATAAAAATCCGGCTCTTTTGGCATTACTTATCACTGCAGGTGCAGATGCTGATTTGGAATATAACGGAAAGACGCCATTGCAGATCTGTATCGAGAATGAATACACAGACAAAATAAGAGCATTTCTCCAAAACGAATGTTGTGATCTCAACAAGAAGTTTGACAATGAAATGAGTTATTTCCATCTCGCAATCAAGATGAATAAGAAACTTTCTATGCGAGCACTTGCATCATATGTATTTCCAGATTTTGTTGACAAAGACGGAAATTCATATCTTCACTATGCTGCATTGTCTAATGATCGTGAAATTACATACATTTGTCTTCATGTTCAAGAGAAATACATTGTTTACAACAATGAAAACATGAGTCCATTGATGCTTGCATCATCAATCAACTCATTCCGATACATTGATCAATTCATTGATTTTTGCGATAAACACTGGATCCTATCAAAGAACAATATCGATCATTATTTCTTGCAGTAATGAATAGAAGTTTTGATTCTTATTATTCAATCTTGAAAATAATTTTATGTTCTGTTGACCCAAATTCAGAAAATACGAAATAGTACATGAAAGTATTGTGTTTTTATAGTTCTTTCAGCAATTCATCATCATTCAGAATCATTTAATTCCATCATGACAATTATTCAATATGAAATAATTTCTAACGCTAAGTCAAAGAATGAGAACAAACAATGAATTGTGTTTTTTATTTTTTATAAAATTTTATTATTTTATTGTTATAAAAAATTTTTTTTAAGTGGAGTAATGATATCTAATAATTATATCATAAAAATCTCAAACATTTCTTAATGATTCATTTACCTGTTTCATGCATTTTCTAATTTTTTGCAATATCTATGTCAGTTAACCGTTTGAGCTTAAAATTGAGGGGAAAAAATGAAATAAAATGTTTATTTACAAGCTTTACATAAGGTTAATGTTAATGAAAAAATGTTTTTTGGAATTGAAAAGATGTTATTATGTTTGTCATCTTTTATACTGTTGGGAACTAGAAAAAACATTAATGGTTGATGTGAAGATGATTTGTTGTCATCATCAACAACATAGATATCAAATGAATGAAGACCACATGAAACAGAATCAAGAGGAACATATTCTGAGAACGGACGAGAATTACTGTCATAAATACTAAAAGATGCCAAATCTTTATATATATCTTCATCAAGTTTGTACTTTATTGTTAATGTTCCAATCTCATCAAGATCTTCAACAACACCATAAATATAAAACTTTTTATTGACATCTTTGATGAGTGTTTGATTATCTCTCGTTGTTAATGATATTGATGGTGAATTATAATAATATTCAAATGTCGATAGAAAAGTATTGGATGATTTATTTGATTCATCAACTGCAATGACTTTAAAATAATGTAATGATTCATTAAGTTCTGAAGGGAATTCTAAATCAATGGTAAATGGATGCTCATTAACATTTAAGATTTCAATAGATTTAATATAAATGATGTTGTTGTCAATGTAAAAGTTGATTGTTACATTACCAAAACCATCAAGATCGATAACTTTACCTTCAAGATGAATACTACTGTTCAAACCTCGATGATATATACCATTATCGAATTCGTCCACAACTATTTCTGGTGGATTGTATTCGTAATATAGAGTAACGTGTTCTTCGTTTGATTTCTTGTTACGCTCATCACAACAATAAATTGTGATCTTGTGAAGAGATTCAGATAATGTTGATGGAAATTCAATTTGTTTAGAAAAAGGGATAATGCATTCTGAACTCATTTCTTCTGAAGGTAATTCTGGATATAAATCTTCATCAAATTTGTAAAAAATTGAGATGCTACCTGTACAGTCTGAATCTTGAATTGTGCCGATGATATTTATTGATTTGTTTGTAGTTCTGTAGAATGTAATACTATTTTGTGTTGAAACAGAAATAATTGGTGTATTGAAAACAAATTCAAATGTTTTACTGTAGTTTGATGATAATTTGCCGAAGCTATCTTCAATCCAAATGAAAATCGTGTGATTACTGTCTATATTGTATTGAGCAAAGTATTCCGATGCTGCAATAGAAAATGCAAAATCATGTTCATTTGTGATTATAACATTTTCAATTTCATGTCGATCACTATTGTCGAGGACGTAATAGAAGTTGACATGTTCAGCATTGTTGTCGTTTGTGAATGTTCCTGTGACAGAGATATTTGTATCAACTTTATTGTGGTATACTGATTGCGGTTCTTTGATGACAATGAGAGATAGACTGTTGAATATATATGTGAAATTGATGGTTTCTTCATTTGATATCTTAATATCTTCATCCATGCAATAAATCGTGATTTTGTGAATACCTTCACTCAAATATGATGGAATGTTGATGTTTTTAGTGAATTCATGATTTGAGGAATTATAAATTGTTATCGTTTGGAGAGGGAGATCTGAATGAGAATCATCAAAATAGTATTTTATTGAAACTTTATCACTTCCATCAAGATCGGTAACGTTTCCTTTGATTTCAATTTGTTCGTTGACCCCGCGTCGAAGTTCTTGATTGTTATTTGTTGTGATAGAGATAGATGGTCTGTTATGATTGAAAATAAATTCATATTGTAGATGCTCTGATTCTATTAGAGTAGAATCAACTGCCCATATATATATTTTGTGAGATCCTTCTTGGAATGATGATGGAATTTGAATTGTGAAATTAAATGAATAATTTCCATTTTGATCAATGATTTCGATTGGTTCTGATGTCATTTTAATTTCACTTTCATTATCAAACTTGCAATATATATCAATTTGATCTTCACCACCACGATCCGAAACAGTTCCATTAACTGTGATGTTGTTATCTGTATTCTTCAAATATGATGGCTTAGGAATTGTAACAATACTGATGTTAGGATGTATATAAATGTACTCAAATGAAATATTATATAATCTGCTCTTTAAAGTATCTTTTTCTAAATATAAATGAATTGTATTAGTGAATTCTGGTAAATCATTAGGAAGATTGATTGAATTAGAGAAATTTTTACCACTTGAATCCACTTCAACACTGAATGAATTTGATTTTTTGGAATTTTCGTTGAAGTAGTATACAATTGTGGCATTGTTTTCTCCATTTGAATATATTGCAGTTCCTGATAATGTAAATGTTTGATTACTCATCTTTATAATTTCGGTTGTATTTATACTTAAATTAGATAGATTAAGTTTATCTGTATATCCAATTGAAAATTCAAAAGAATTATTCATAGAATACTGACTATGGCACTTAGCTTGCAAAGTTATTGTGTGATCACCATAACCTAAATCCCAAATGTCAATCGTTTTATATTTAAAACTTGGTTCACTGCCATATTGAAAATATACATATTTAACCTTTTGTTCTGAATCAATATAAATGAATAACTCTACTGGATCAATTGGAACATAATATATAATATATCCAACAAGCAAATTCATTGGCGGTGGAAAAGAATACATTTTGCTAATATATTCAAATGAAACGGAAATTTCAACTGGAAATCCTATAATATCAAAACCAATACTATATGTTCTACTATTAAAATCATCTATTATTAAATAAAAATTAATTGTATTTCTGGTTTGTGGTAAATCATCTGGAATATGGATTATTTTTTCGAAATTTTTACCATATTTATCCACTTCAACCGTGAATGTATTTGAATTTTCAAAATTATTGTTGAAACAATATATAATTGTAGCTGTTGATTATCCAATTGAATATCTAGCTCTTCCTGATAATGTAAAATCTTTATCAACGTCCTTTGTGATTTCTCTTTGGCTAATATCAAAACTTGGTAGATCGAGTTTATCTGTAAATCCATATGAAAATTCAGAAGTTACATTATCAGAATATTGATTTGAACCCTTAGCTTGCAATTTTAATATGTGATCACCATAATCTAATCCATGAAAATCAATCGATGCGTAATCATTATAGTTTGAACAATTTAATGTTTCATATTGTTTCGTAGTTTTTAGTAATGAATCAAAATAAAAGTATATTTCCACAGAATCAACAGGAATATTATATAGTTCAAAACTAACATTCAAACCTTCTGTTGATTGATATGAATAGAATTCTTTCGGTGGTACGATGATTTTAATTGAAATTCTTGTAATATT